ACGCAGCTGGGCAGAAAGATCATGGGCTTGAACCAGGGGTTGTGGATCCGGTTCGACCTCTGCCAGTCTGACGCTGCCCGATAAAACGTAACTTCAGCACCAAGGCAAAGGCTGTTGCTGCAGGTACTTCAGGACGCTTGCATCGAAGCCTTGTGTGTCCGCTGGGGAAATCTCCAGCACCTGAGATTCAACCACTCCTGCACATCCACACGGCTGCTCGCTGCTCGCTGCCGGAGAGACCGGCCTTCATTGTCTTGTACCGCTCTAGCTTCTGGGAGACGAAAACCTTTGCACCGCAGGGCTGCCGACATTCCCTGAACCCTAAACCTTAAACAGCCTTAAACCTTAAGCTTTTCCCCGCAGACTTTGCATGGCCGCCTGCCTGCCGGAAGCGCCGGGCCAACTCTGGGGTGTGGAGGTTCAGGAAGCAGTAGCCCTGTTTGCGCAGCGAAGAGCGAAAGCCAGTCCAGGGTTGAGAGATTAATGCCTAGGGCTTAGGGCGCAATGCTTCTTCTGACATGGCCTGGCCTTGTTGCGCTTGGTCTCGAAATCAATGGGCAGGTAGAAGAAGTCAAAGTCCTGAAAAGTAAGGAACCCTTTGGACCTACAGCTTCCTTCGCCATCGTCAACTGCTTAATGCTTCTAAGGGGCGCCGGCAAAGCCCTTCGCAACCAACTCTTCTAAGAGCTCCTTGTGTATCCGTGTATGCTATCCTAACGACACGACGTGCATCCACGTGCTGGGGAAGTCCTCTGTCGTGTAGCGGTTTGGTATGTTCCTTGCACCCCGGTGTGGAAGGACGGTGCATATCAGGACATCTGCGGGGACATGCATCTGATTATCTATGTCGCAAGCTGCCAGGCCTGATCATGACCGAGGTTGTTCCTCACAGATGCTTGGTATTCAACTTGCACACAGACGTGGACCTCTGCTTCAGTGGGCCTTGCGGCCAGTTCCATTCGCCAGGCGCCTTCGCTGCACCAGGACAGCTAAAGGCTGGAGCGGGTGCGCCTGAGGGCTCAACATCCCCGGACGAAGTACTCGGCGAAGGCGAATCCTTGCGGGTGTCCTGACAGGACCCTAGTGGCTGCAAAGACGGGCGGATCCTTGCCGGTGTCCTGGAAGTTTGCTCTGGACAAATACTCGGCCCCAAAGTTGAAGGGCAGCGACGGACATTTCGGATGGTTGCCTCGAAGCCTCAGTTTCTAGGCTTTGGCGGGGCCAGGATGCACAATCATGAGATGTCAAACTTTGAAGCCGGCATCGATAAAGACAGCGTGCTCGTCCAGAGTGCTCCGGGCTGTAGCACACTGGTGCAAGGGCCTTCGAGCCGCCAGAAGTCTGCGACTTCGGCGTCATGTACATAACTCTCTTGCATGTGGCAAGTTCTCTAGATTAGGGCCCCTTTTCAGGTCCCAAAATGTTCAAAATAGTTTAAAAGGACCTTAAAAGGGACCCTAAAGGAGAGATCTTCACATGTAACTGCCTTGCCTTGACAGTCCAAGCCCAGGCCTGGCGGCGGCCCGACGGAGCCTGAGAAACATGCTCCATCATATATCCTTATATACACATACATACATACATACATACATACATACATACATACATACACATAAACATAAACATAAACATAAACATAAACATAAACATAAACATAAACATAAACATAAACATAAACATAAACATAAACATAAACATAAACATAATCATAAACATAAACACATACATATACATATACATATACATATACATATACATATACATATACAGACACAGACACAGACACAGACACAGACACCTACACACACATACATACATCCATGCATGCATACATACATACATGCA